TCCGTTCTTATCCGGGTTTTATCCAGATCTGTTGTCTTATCCACTCCCTATGAATCATTACTCGCCCACGTGCTGTGCTGTTGAAGCTCGGCTGCCTGTTCTGCTCCCTATGAAGCGGGCAAGGGAACTCGAACCCAGAGAATCCCTCCTTCCCACGGTCTAACCCCTCCTTACGCCCTGCTGGCCCCCCCCAACCCCCCTTAAAAAACTCCCCCAAAATAGCCCCGCCCCACCCTCCCGGCCCCAAAGGCTCCTTTTCCCTCGAATCCGCTCCCTGGGAGTCTGGAATTGGGGTTGGGGGAGTGAGACCTAGGAAGGAACGGGAACTGCAGTTGGGATCGGGTCCTGGATTAGAACTGGAAATGGGACCTGAGCCGGGATCTTGGGGAGTCTGCAGTCAGGAGTCTGACGTGAAGAGCAGGTTAGACCGATTAGACTGATGTACGGTACATCCTGTTGACTACCTGGTCACCTCCTCCTCCTCCTCCTCCTCCTCCTCCTCTTCTCTCCCCATCTTCATCCCTTCATTCAAACTCACCTCCTTCTCCTTCTCCTTCTCCTCCTCCTCCTCCTCTTCCTCTTCCTCCTCCTCCTCCTCCTCCTCCTCCTCCTCCTCCTCCTCCTCCCATCCCCCCTGTCCGCCTTCTCCTACTCTTCTGATTAGACTGGCGTATGGTACACCCTGTTGAGTCACTGGTCACCCCCTCCTCTGCCTCCTGTCCTCTTCCATCCCTCCCTTTCGTTCAACCTCTCCCGCCTGCTCCTCCTCCTCCTCCTTCTCCCCCCCTACCTCCTTTCCCCTCCCCCTCCCGACCTCCTTCCCCCCGTTCCTTGCGATTGAGATGGAGGGGGAGACTGAGCAAGCACGGCCCCTGCAACACGTGTCTGATGGGGCCACAACGGACAGGATGCTGCTGCTGTCCTGTTGCTGCAGTGCTGGATCGAGGACAAGAAAAGGGAAGGAAGGCGTGATATGGTTCTTCTTGCGGACTGAGAACAAGAGCGCAGGGATCACATTGTGACGGTTCTGCAGAGCAGAGAGGAGAGACGGCTAACGTGACTGACTGACGACAGCAGCAAAGGGATGTGGTAGGAGCGGCCGCAGGAGAAAGGCCAAGTTCGTCCAGCATGATGAGCGGCACATGGATTGCAGGCCATCACGACGACACGATCGTTGCCGCCAGCGCAGCTTCAAACGATCATGCGTTCTGCTTCTCCATGCCGGAAGAGCGACCACGTCTCCCACCGCCGGTGCTGGCCCTCCCTCTCCCATTGTCATGGTGGTGGGTGTCATCTACTCCTCGGAGCTGCTGGGCGGATGCTCTGGATAGGTTGTGTGCTGGTGCTGTTGACACTCGATCGGCTCGTAGGGGACGTCGCTGCCCGCTCCTTCTACTTCTCGTCCGCTCGGGGAAAGGATAATCGAGACATACGGGCTGCGCAATCCCCTTTCACTCCCTGGAGGAGCTTAGCCAAGGCTTCTGCCGTCAACCTTGGGCCCGGGGACAAGATCGTTCTGTGCCGAGGGGACGCTTGGTACCACGAGACGCTGAAAGTGACCGGAAAGGGTACCCCCCAAAGCCCGGCGATGGTCACGTCCTACCCCTGTAGAAAGGACACGCCTCCGGACGCCCTGCCCTTTCTTAGCGGGGGAATACGACTGTATGGGGATAACCTGCGTTTCCATCGGTGGGGAAGGAACCCAGAGGTGTCGGTGATCGACCTCTCCACGGCCTTAGCCGAGGGCGAAGAAGTGGCCTACTTCGGGGTGTATGTGAACAACGAGATACTGTACCCGGCTAGAACGCCCAACGTGTACAATATCAGCGACACTTGGGGGTATGGGGAAGAGGTCCTGTGTGAGAATGGGATCCCCAGGAGAAACAGGAGCACAGGGACCTGGGATGTGCAAGGAGGGGCGGCCTTCTCGGAAATGAACTATCCTCCGGACCATCTGACAGGTGCACGGGCAGTGGAGAGGAGACGTCTGGACCACTGGGCACACAACGTGGTGGTGGGACACTGGGGGGAGGTGGTGTCTTACGATCCCGAGGCGGATGTGTCCGGAGGGTGTGTGTACTTCGAAGGAAAGCTGGAGTTTTTGGATGCCCCGAGGGAGTTCTTCTTTGATGCTGCCAACAGGTTGTTGTACGTATGGCCAAGACCTGGGCAACTGCTAGTCAACGTAGATCTGATAACCAACAAGGTAAGATGGACGGTGCAGATTGGCTTCGGTTCTGCCAACCTTGTGATCGAGACGCTGCACGTGGAGTTCTCGGAGATGGCCATTGCCTCCATGAGCGAGGAAGACGGCGATCCTGACCTGGCTGTAGTCAACATCACCATCCGGGACTGCGTTTTGCGCCGCTGTTTCCATGGCATCCGCCATACGCACCCCCGCGGTGTGAACACATTTGAGCGTAATCGTTTGAAATGGATCCTGGGTGATGCCATCGCTGGCTTCTCTCCGCGAAACCTTGAGGAAAGGATGGCCTCCATCATCGCCATAGGGAACAGGGTACATTACGTAGGCTACATCTCGGGTTGGGCCAAAGGCATAGGTTTGTACGTGTCCCAGGCTTACAATAACGTCGTAGGAGAGACCGGCTATGTGGGGATCTACTGTATCTACTTCTCCGCCTGCGTCATTCGCGACAACATTGTCCACGACTATATGAAGGCTCTGGCGGAAGGTGGGGGCATCCTTCTCGTCATGGGGGCTCAGTGGGGGGGGTGGAAGATCGTCCAGAACAATGTGGTCTTGGACGGCTGGGGAAACTGGGGCACCCAAAGTGGGTTCCCTGCCGAGTCCCGTTATGGTGGGGGCGGTGCCCCCGGGATCTACGTTGACGGCCAGGAAACCATCCGATACCTGGTATCCAACAACACTGTTATCAATCCTGGCGGTGCTGGCCTCTTCAACAAGGAGGCCTACAATGGCTCATGGCTAGACAACCTCTGCTACAGTGAAAGGGCCTCCTTTCCCTGTATGGACTTTGTCACTTGGTTTCCTCAACCCTATACGGAGGTCATCAGGAACAAGTTTTTGGCCACTGGTATGGTCCTTCGTTTTGCAGTTTACGGTCTGCACAGGTCCCGAGGAGAGACCATCAATGAGACCCACTTTCAAACTACCCGTTGGAACTCGAACTTGTACTGCATGCGGCTGTCGGGGGCATCCTTTGACCAGGGAAACCAAACCTCCACTGCCACCTTCTCGCTCTTTCCTATTGAGCCGCCCTCAGCCCTGCAGAATGTACGCCCCTCGGACCGCGAGGGTGTATTCCATTTGGAAGCCCATCAGGGGATCACTGGTGATGTCACACCTTTTTGTGATGCCAAGGAGAGGGAGGACTTGATGTTGGCTTTGACACGACAGCGGGACTTTGTGAGCGAAATGAAGCGCATGTCGGACGTTTCTGATAGAGAGAGAGATGCTCTGCTGCAGAGAGTTGTCCCTGGAGGGTTCAAACCAGAGTACGATGCAGAGGGTGATCTGGTGGGCGTGACTCACACAGTCGTGGTGAAGGAGAAGGAGACAGACAAGACCGGGCCGGTTGCAGCAGTTTTGATCGCCATCGCTTTCACACTGTTCTTCTTAGTGATGGCTGTTTCTAGGTGCACGAAGACGCTGCGTGTACAACAAGAGAGGAATAAGCACGTACAGTTGCAAGAGAAGAGGAGGCAAACGCTCCTGGCTGCAAGTTCTGAGCCGCAGGCAAAGCCCTGGAGAGAAAGGGGGATAGGGAGAACAGAGGGAAATGACAGGATCCAAAGAGAAGATGCAGCAGTGGGAGCAATTGTTTCAGCCAGGGCACACTCGTGGTATGTCCCAAAACGCTCTATCCTTTCTCCTAATGGGATGCAGAACAATTCGCCTAATGGGTCGCAGAACGGGTCGCAGAAGCCAGGCTCAGATCAGATCGGGCGGTTTCGCGTGGACTGGGACAACATTGGGAAAGAGAAAATTGACACCACTAGACAACACCATGGAAGGAGGATGACGGTGTTGAAGGAGACGGCCATGGCAGACCTGGCGCAATTCAAGCAGAAAACGCCCAAGGAGGGCACGCGGAAAATGGAGTCAAGCGATGGGGAAGCCAAGCAGAGGAGGGAGAATTGGGACGAGGGGCACAAGAAAGGCAAAAAGGTGGAGGACAAGGTAGAAGGCGAGGTGAAGAAGGAAGCGAAGGGCCGAGAGAAGGAACACGGTGGAAAGGGAAAAGAGGAGATGAAGGCCAATGAGGAGGTAAAAGAGGAGAGAGGAAAGAAAGGCGTACAGGAGAATCAGGGCGGAGGATCTGCTGCAAAGGAGGAGATTCAGCATGCATCGAGTACTAGTCAGCAGGATGAAGGGCAACTTGTCATACATCATGTAGAGGGAACCACCTCAACGCACCAACAAGCGGGACGAGATGATAATCGCGACAGCATAGTGGCCTTAGAAGACCCGCAGGTTTTGCTGCCAAACAAGGCAGTGCAAGGAGGAGGAGGATGAGTAGGAGATGTCATAAAAAAAGACACGCGCAAGTTGTCGTTTCGGCTTCAGCACTCTGGTCCTTCTGGCACTGGTGACACGCCTGGTCAAGCAGCAGTCTGAAACAAAGAAGCGGAGGGTGGCGACACGTAAGTGTACGAGCAAAGGAAAAGGCTTTAAAAACACAAGGGAAAAAGGAAGCGTGTGGAGGGATGGGGCTGTCGGAAGCAGCGGAGGGAGTTCATTGTGCGAAGTCCCCCAAGGACACCAGAATTGCTGTCCAAGGACCAC